ACAGTGTGTCGATTAATAGATGTGTCAATAACACATGTATTTACTTAATATATAACACTTATAATATTATTAGATCCACTATTGAACTGATGACGATGGGGCATGTGAAAATGCGTTTAATTTCATTTGTAAAATAATGTTAATAATTACGAAATTTGTTAGTTAGTTAAAGAAATATTGTAGGAGTAAATTTAGGACACATCACATTTTAATATATAGGTATATTGGTATATTTTGACTGATTAAGGTAAATATGCAAATATTAACCTTCTAATGAATAGGTCCAACAACTTTTTTATAGTAGATTTTTTTAAAACTCCTTCTCTTTTAATAGTATTGATTAGTTTGTCCCAAGTATCCTTCCATTTGGCAAACTTTAGGTTTGATCCATATAATATTATGAACCGTTTGATTCATATAATATTATGAAATGTTCTAAGAACACTCTAACCTGTGGGAAGTGAGTAGAGCAAATAGCATAATCAGCTAAGTCAAGGAGCTTATCTAGTCCCTCCCTTCTTTTCTCTGCGTTGATTAAGACGGATACGTTCTTGCTATGTGCCTGCATAAGAATTACAAATCTTCTTAGAAACAAGTTTCCCGATGGGTTATATATACTTGAATGAGCAAAAATACACATTAAAGAGAGTAGCTTTTCTTCACCTTTTGCGCAAGAAGCAATTCGGTTTCGCGAGACCTTCCAGTTACATGTACAACTTTTACTCCATCAAGCACAGCTAGAAGGAGAGATTCAGTAAGGTCATCTGGGAGCAAGGGAGGATATCCTGGTGTGAAAATACACGTGCGAGTATTCCTACATGTTTTGTTGTAAGAATAACATCAAACGCATGATTAGTTTACCTAACGCGCTTCTTTGGACATATTATACTTGTATGATTAGAAAAACGGAAACTTTAAATTAATAAGAGCACATGGACACAACATGACAAAAAGACTGTTTTTACCCACGTTTGGTTATCTACAATGACGTAATTAAAATGTGAAACTCCATCTTTAGCTGTCTGATATGGAAAAAGAAGAAGAAAGGATTGTTGTTTTATGTATGTTGACGGATATACTGTATAAATGTAGTTATATTGTATCAGTTATTAAACTGTAATGATGTTACCACACAAAACGAAGTATCGACGCCGCTAGATTCGAGTTCTTCTAGCATCCATCTCGCTTGAGAATCATCAGCAACCTAAAACCATATTTCCATTTTCTTTGTTATGACTTTTTTTGTTTATAGTTGTTTCTGGTGAATAATGTTGAAAAGGGAAGAGCGTAAATCCCCAAATCACATCAACAAAGCTGTTTTATTTGAGTTCTTTGAACCACTAAAACTCAGTTGCATTGGTAATCTTTTTCTAAAGTTTTTCAATACAATGTTTCTCAAATAAAAGTTTTCAATACAAAAATATATATTATTTTTAATGTGTACATAATGATTTTTGATATAGTAGTATCAAAATTTTAGATATCCAATAATAAATATTATAACTATTTTGTATTCATATTTGAATAAGACCCTCTGCGACGAATCATTATCTAATCAAATTCAAAGTTTTTTATTCCCACAAATCTTTATCACTTAAAATTTTAAGATAATGAATAGTGGCACTATTTAATTTTCATTTTAGTTACATAACTAAGAATCGCATGTTTAAATTTCTGTATTATATTTTAGTACTTAAAACTATTTAGTCTCATTAATTTCCAATTATAATATATAATAACAATTTTATGCCATCTTTTATTACTTATAGGTACATTTTAGTCTTTAGAATTATATATATCATATATATTATGATGTAGTATCATTCAATTGATGTTTTTAGTGAAAACAAATTGTAAAAATTATTAGGAAGAACTTTTTTTGAATTTGAGATTAGACACATTTTAGCGATCAAAATAATATTGGTGTGCTAGTAACATAAGAGCATCTCCCTTGATAGTATGTGAGTTTGGGTTCTAAAAACATATATATAATTGTGAAATTTTGACTTTAAGGGAAATGTAATCCAGAATATTTATTTTACATATTTTGTGTTACATTTTTGTAAATTTAATAATCTAATAATTAAATACTAATATTAGTATATAAATACAGGTCCGGCCTTTGGCATTTGTCCAAGGTGCAATTGCACATGGTCCATTTATTTTGACAATTTTTATTTAATGATTTAATATTTTTTCAAAAACAATTAAGACCCTTTTAAGAAATTTTAAGTTATTTATAATAAAAAACTTTTTTGCATAGGATCCAATATAACTTTGAGCCGGACCTGTATAAATATATATATATATATATATATATATATATATATATATATATATATATATATATGTATTTTGAGAATCTCAAATCTACATACCAATTACCATCAATGAGATTGTTCTAATATGTAATATATAATTTTTGTTTCTATCTGTGATCACATGGTGATATACTGTTCGTAAAACTATCAATTAGTTTTCCTATTAATAATGATATAACATTAATGACTAGGATTCAAAATACAACTTTTTTAAAAAAAAATCGAGAAATACGTATAGAGTAACACCCCACTGACGACAAAAGAAAAAAAGGAGTAACGTTCCACTAAATCATCTTTTGTTCAAAAGAAAAAAGGGTGGCTCCTCAAGTGAAAAATGGTTGTTCAAGATGCTCTAAAAACTATTCCAGATAAATACTTCGAGTTAAATAATAACTCTTGGTTCCACAAGAAATATTATAACCAAAATTGAAGTCAAATTTGTACTAACCTTAGCTAAGATTCTAGAAGCCAAACCCAAACGAGCAGCGCATGTTAAAGTATTCCCAGTGTTTCCACCACCTTGAACCTGTATATTCAGAAATGGTCAGCAACAATTTAAGAATTAAATAAAGTCAACAAAGCATTAAAAGCATCACGTAAATCGTATCCGACCTTGAAGCTCGTGCATCGTATCTTTTCGTCGGGAACTGGGAAAGACGGTACAGTGACTAAGTAATCCAAACAGAGTTGGCCACAACCAAGCTGCCATTGTAAGCCAATCTAATCATTATCATCAATTCACAAAAAAAAGCATGAGAATAAACGAGAAAGATAGAGATACGCACGACGATCGGGTGACCCGGAACTGCTTCGTTGGAGCGAGATGTCATGTCTGAGCGAGAGCAGAAGAATATAGATTAGACATTTATAGGGGCCCGAAACTTTCAAATTTATAGGGGCCCGAAACTTTCAAAAATAACCGGAAAAAAAATGCAGCTGGTTGTTGGCAAAATATAAAAAAAAAAATTTGAAGAGAAACACAGCTGTTTGGTTGAACCGAAGACAAACCGAATCTTTTTAGATGAACTCAATCGGGTGGAGAAGAGTTAAAAATAAAATTGAGAATAAGTTTTTTTTTAAACCAAAACCGACGCTCAAGTTGTTGGATTATAATTTTTTTTTCAAGAACTTGATTGTTGGCTTTGTTTTTAACTAATATCCAACAACTTTTTGGTAAATTTCATGGAACTTTCCTAGTGAGATTTATCAGATTATAAAAGACCAATCATACGTTACATACACGTAATAGTCAAGTTTAATAGCCAAAAAGATATATAAGCTAGTATTATAGAACAAGTAGAAGCGACGAATTCAATTATATAAGACTTTAGTTGAGAAAAAAAAAAGTTGTTCACAAAAAAAAAGACTTTAGTTGATAACCTTTCTTTTCTTTTGGGTAATTGAGAAATTGAGCGTGATATTATATAAAGACCAAAGACGCAAAGACTAAAGGGTAGAAATGATACTTGGATGTTTTTCTTTCGTTTTCAGTTCTTCTGTGAAACTTCTCACGTATCGTTTTCAGTTGTTCCCTGAAAATACCATCGTCTTTCCATTTGTTTTTCAATGTGAGACCGTGATAGTTCGAGTTAACATGACTTCTGTAACGCAAAATGCACAATGCGGAAAAGTTGAAATGCAAAAACCCTACTCCTAAAAAAACCTCCTCTTAAGTCTTAAGCCCTCAAATATTTTAGATCCAAATAAGACCATCTCCAATAGGGGTTCTATCCTATTGGAGTTCTAAAACTATATATGCGTATGTATATAATTGTAGGATTTAATAAATAGTGTAGAATCCTATCCAAAATTTTTAGAACTTTTAGGTAAGGTTCTACACTATTTAGTGGACCCTACAATTACCTACGTTGCACGGAAGTTTCATCAGACATGCGCTTCCCGCTTCGGAACCAGAATCGGAATCAGAATCTTGTGGAACCTTGCGGAATCTCGATTCTAAAACGCTTCTAAAATATCCTATATAAAAACACGTTGGAAGCTTACGATTCCACTCTGGAATCACGCTTCCAGTTTTAAAAACACAATATCATATATAATGAGGATATATATATATATATATATATATATATATATATATGTAAATACTTATATTAATACTATAAATCATATGTATGCACTGTTTTTATTAGAGATATATCATATATATAGATGTATTCAAATATGGTGTGCCAATTATTTATAAAATATAAAAAATAACTAATTGGTAATATTTGTTTATAAACTTAATTTATCTGTATTTTCAATATTATTATATGCAATCATTTAAAATTACAATGAATGAATAAATACTTTATTTTAAATTAGAATCATATAACTCTTAGTTATAAATTTTATAAAATTTTCTATATTTATATATATATATATTGGATATACGCTTCCAACGCGTATCCGCTTCCTATCTTTTTAAAAAATCTTGATTCTGCGTTTCCAAACGATTCCGCTTCCGCGCATCCGCTTCCGTTTCCATGTAACATAGACAATTACATACATATATATAATACATACATACACACATATATGGTTTTAGAACTCTACACACATATATGGTTTTAGAACTCTAATGGGAGAGAACCCCCATTGGAGATGGTCTTAGACCCTAGGAAAAATACCCTAGGAACAAAAATCCGTTGAAATGTTTTTGGCGGTTTTGTAAATATCAACGAAATAAACAGCCATTGAAAATTCCCGACAAATTTTAATCATTTGGAAATCCATCAGAAAATTTTGACGAATTTCCGATAGATTTATATAATATCTATTTTGTTAGTTCTGTCAGGAATCCGTTGATAATTTCCGATAGTTTCTTGACATATTTAAGCAAAGAAAAAACACAAAAGCCTTCAACTTACACACAAAAAAATAATTTTTAACTTCCTTTTAACCATTTTAATCTTCAATTTAAAAAATTGTCCATTTTAAATCTCAATTTTGGTTAACTAAACCATTTTAGATACCTGAAAAATCAATGTTAAATCGATTTAACGGTTAACTTTTCAAAGATCTTAAATAGTCTGGTTAACAAAAATTAAGATTTAAAATGAATATTTTAAAAGTTCAAGATTAAAATGGCTTAAACTGAAGTTCATATGTTTATTTCGTTGAAAGCTTGACTTTTAACATCTTTTACACTTTGAATTAAAAAAAATATAATTATTTTTTTTACTTACTTAATTACTTCTTCAAAAACACCATTAAGTTAAGTTTATTCTATTTTCTCTCACTGAATTCACACTTTTGCTTCATTTATAATGGATAACAACGACTATGATTTAGATAATTTATCAAACAACTAAATGAGTAAGAATCCGGTTGCATCTATATTATCAAAGACCAAAATTTTGATGTAAAACCAAGGGCAGAGTCACTTCCAAGTCAAAGTTCAAGATTTTCGTTGGAACAATAGCTTGAACCTCTTGGTATATCAAGATTTTCTCATCTCGGTTACATGTGCGTCGCTGATAAGATGATATTATATTTGACTATTAATTCTAAGAGAACTCTATGTTTTTAAGCTGTGTTGATGTCTCAGTACATGAGGCATATCCATACACTTCAAAACCAGTGTCTTCTAGTTAATATTTTCATAATAATGAATTTGATATCTCATCTTAAAAGAGAAACAACTTAAAAATAATTAGATTTTTCTAATTCAAAAATAGAAAGCCATAAAATTCAGATCTTTCAAAATGAAACAAAAAAATATAAACTTTCGTATAAACCATTTTACTCTCCAGTTTTTTTTTAAAAAAAAACTCTCTTTAAACATCAACTTTTATTGACCAAACCATTTAAAATACTTAAAATCTCAATTGTTAAATCGATTTAACATTGACTTTTCAGATATGCAAAACGATCTGGTCAGGAAAAATTGAGATTTTAATTGTATATTTTCTTTTTTAAAAAAATTGAGATTAAAATGGCTTAAAAAAAAGCTGAAGGTTATTTTTTGTGTAAGTTGATGATATTTTTGATGTTTTTCTTTAAATAAATATTTACTTTTATTAAATTCTTTGAGTATCCGTCAAGAAATTCTGTCAGATTTCTGACAGATTTGAATAAATATTTATTTTTTACTTATTCCATCGGGAACCCGTTAGAAATTTTCCATGAATTTAATAAAAGAAAGTATTTATTTAAATCTCCAAACAATGAAAATTCTCTAAGAATTCTACTACAAATTTATGAAACTTCAATCTTTTCTTTTCAAAGTGAATCTCCATCTGTTTGCTCTCTAAGTGATCTTTAAGAACAAACTAGAAGTTAGAGACCTTGTGGAAGCACATTGGCCAGGGCCGACCGCAGACTTTGTTCTCTCAAAAATCTGCAGGGTGAGACAGAAGATAGTGGAGTGGACCAAGGTCCAGAATGCTAACTGTAAAGCCTTGATTCTGGAGACACAACAGAAGCTGGAGGAGGCCCTCTCGAGCAGTTCCCCTGACTTCGGGCTTATAGGAGAACTCACACAAAGTTTGGAAAATCATTACAAAGAAGAGGAACTTTTTTTGGCAGCAGAGGAGCCGGATTCAATGGTTAAACTGTGGTGACATAAACACTGCTTTTTTCTACGGCACAACATGAGGAAGAAGGGCTGTCAACAAATTTGCGGTAATTGAGGATGAAAGAGGACATGCTTTTTTTGAAGAGAACCAAATAGCAAGTACCGTGGCTAACTACTACTCAGATATTTTCACCTCTAGAGCTTTAGCCACTACGTCGGATGATGACCCTCTAAACATCGTAGAGCAAGTCCTTTCCCCCCTGGTGTCACCGGCGATGAATGCAGATTTGATAAAAATCCCTGATAGCGTGGAAATTAAAACTGCTGTTTTTGCTATCAACCCGGATAAGGCTCCGGGACCAAACGGTTTCTCCGCTTCCTTCTACCAGAGCTTTTGGGATATCATTGGGTCCGATGTGACCAGAGACATTCAGCTCTTCTTTGAAACCGGGATCCTTAATAGACGGCAAAATGAAACGCACGTTAGGCTAATCCCAAAGATCTCGGGACCGAGGAAGGTGGCTGACTATAGGCCTATCGCACTTTGTAATACGCATTATAAAATCATTGTAAAGATCCTCACCTCACGACTTCAACCCCTTCTTGGTCTATTGATATCACAACAATAATCCGCCTTCGTTAAAAACAGAGCAATTTCCGATAACGTGTTGATTACACATGAAATCCTACATTACCTTCAGACTTCTGGAGCAAGAGTGAGATGCTCCATGCTGTTAAAACTGATATGAGCAAGGCGTACGATAGAATCGAATGGGGTTTTCTTGAAAGAGTCTTGAAGCAGCTCGGGTTCCATGAAACTTGGATCATGTGGATCATGGAGTGTGTGAGTTCTGTATCATACTCATTTTTGATTAATGGTGGAGCTCTGGGTCGTGTCTTACCTTCCCGAGGTATCATACAAGGTGATCCGCTCTCACCCTATCTTTTCATCCTTTGCACGGAAGTACTTTCCGGGTTATGTAAGCGCGAGCAACAACGTGGAAACTTCGCTGGGGTCAAAGTGGCTCGTGGTTGCCCAGCAATAAGTCACCTTCTTTTCGCTGACGACACCATGTTCTTTACTAGAAAAAACCCTACTTGCTATGACGCCCTCAGGAGGATTCTGTCGAGCTATGAAGCAGCTTCAGGTCAGAGTATTAATGTGGGGAAATCCGCCATTACCTTCTCCTCCAAGACTCCACCTGAGGTTAAGCTACGGGTCAGAAACTCCCTGAATCAGAATGAAGGCGGGATGGGTAAATATTTGGGATTGCCGGAACACTTCAGTAGAAAGAAACGGGATATTTTTGT